CCACTGCCTATGAGTCGCCGGCTCATTCTTCAACAGGCACGCGGTCAGAGCCCTGGGCTCCTCCCACTGCTTGGGAGCTTACGGTTTCATGTTCTATTTCACTCCCCAATGGGGGCTCCTAGCCACCAAGATACTACAAATTTTAGTTCTTGAGTAACAGCTTGTAATTCTACTTGAATGGAATTGCCAAATCTTGGTGGCTAGGATAATTCCATTTTGATTTTCCCCATTACAGTCTCTAAATGCACCCCCTAGACATGAATCAAACAACTGTTTTTTCTTTCAAAATAGGGGGAATTCAGAAAAAAGCAGGAGATGAAATAGAAAAGTGACTATTTACCTTTTTACAAAGACAATATTCAAGGGTTATGTCTTTAATACTTGTTAATTAAAATTTGTTATGACTATTAAGGCGAGTGGAAGTATGTACTATATTATTGTTCCAGGTTTGAAAGAGAAGTGTTATACTAAAGATGCTGAACAAAATGGCACATAAACTATCTCAAGCTCATTTATCTTTCTATAGAAGACAATAGATCTACAACACACATACTGTTGGAAGCAAAGATAAAAGCAACTAAAAATGTCAAACATAAGGAAAAGTGTTGACTTGGCATGATATAAGTGCTAAGAGCAGTCCTGCTGAGTGACATTTGCTTAAATGATAACAAAAGTGCAATAGTCAAACCGCTTAATAAGATCAGATTTACAAGTAAATGGAAATTTAAGAAAATTTTGTAATAGTAGCAAGTGCATGATTTCACTCCATTCCAAATGAATGCAAACTAACATAGAACTGAACATTATCAGAAAGTACATAAAAGACAGCAACTCATGCTTTTGTCATTGTGTGAAGAATTTTCAGTTATTCAAAAAAAACGTCATTGTGTGAAGAAAAAGTACATCATGAACTAAACCAAACCCAGACCTGCTGCACCAAGTACTTACCAAAGGCTTGATGCGAARAAGGCACTTATGGGAATCACACATGTGGCATATCTGTATAACCAAGAAAAAAAAAAGTGATGAAGAAATGATGAATAGAGTGAAAAGGATAAAAAATAATCTGATAAAAAAAGGATAAAAATAATTTGAAGTCTTACATTTCAAATGTCATTTTGACAGGTGATACAACCTGGCATGGTCAAAAATATTGGGTATGTTATCCAAGCATAATAACAAATAAAAGGACAACACTATCTGAAGCAGGAAAGAAGTAGAAAAAGCTGCCAACATCAATGTGCACTCATTTGTGAAGTAAATCACATCTTGACAATCATGCAGATATTAACCATACTTTGTTGCAGCATAGACCATAAGCTACCATAAAAGTGAGCATATCTATGATAAAAGGAGATTAACAGCAGCACCAATAAGGAGGCAAGGCAAGATTACTTAAAATTGGTTGAGATGATTTATCAAGTGCACTGAAGAATGAATAATAATATCTGCAATAGCGACAAGCATCTTGTTGCAAGTTGAAGGGTCTAAAAGGGCAAGGAAAAGGAAAGAACATGAATAGAACTACACAAGTACTGGAAATGAGACAAGAAGAGGACTTTGTAATTTAATAGTTAAAATATGGATAAGACATGTGGAACAGTGGAGAAAGACTGTAGCCAACAGAAAATAGTTGAAACTTGATTGAGCTGAGCTGAGAACATAAACACAGCATGGGCATGGACAAGCACACTTACAGCCAATGGGAGAGAGTRATACTTGTCAAATAAAAGAAAACAAGAAAATGTGTTTCATCAGTACCAAGATCAAAAGAGTTTTATTATTTTAAACAAGGCAAAGGAGTAAGAGTACAATCACCTAATAGCCAACAAAGTTAGATACAAGAACTCTATCTCTGAAAATTTGCTCTATGCATGGCAAGTGGTGRAACTACCTTACACCTACTAATATCTCCTGTTACATCTCATACATTTGGTTCTTTGGCCTCTTTGGATGCAGATGGGCACCCYCAGGGTCTTGGCAAGCCTCTTTGAGGAGTTTTTCTTCTCTCCATCCAAAAAAAGGTGGAAGATTATTTACAAATGCACAAAAGCTGCCTTCTTGTGAGTAGAACTGCAAATGAATTGAATTTAATCCGATCCAAATATTTTATCCAATTCATTTAGGTTGGATTCAGATATCCATTTAGCCATTAATTGATCTGAAAATATGATCTGTAATCAGATCAATTCAGATATTGCTTGATCCAATCTGATCCAATAATATACATATACATATAAAGACCAGTTTTTAGTATTTTTAGAAAAAGGACTCATGCAGCCATCTCCATATAGATGATGAGGCTTGGGTGATGATGATGAGGAGGAGGAGTATATAACTATGTATTTAGTGGGGAAGGATAAGAGAGCTTATCATCTGGTATCAAAGCATAGATTCCATGGCTAGCACAGGGATTTACCAATGGAGACTAAGGTGAATCAGATGGCGGCGGAGCTTCATAAAGTTAATACTGACCTGAAGGATATTAAAGAAACACTCTCAACAGTGATGTTCAAGATCAATAAATTGTCTCAGGCAAGCAGCAAGGAGAGTGGGCAATAAGGGTCAAGTTCCAATAGAAACCACCAATCTGGTTCAACGACTGGTAAGTCGATCAAGCTTGTTTTTTCCCTCTTTCAATGGCGATGATCCAATTTCATGGATCTTCCGTGCTGAGCGCTACTTTGGTTACAATGAGGTTTCCGGACCAAATAGAGTACCCCTGGCTTCTATCCACTTCAAAGGAGAGGCAGTGCTCTGGTATCAATGCTACCGCCACTCCCATCCCAGAATGACTTGGGCTGACCTTACCAAGGCTATCTCAGTGCGTTTTGGATCCACCGGTTTTGAGGACTACAATGAAAGCTTGTAAAAACTCCAGCAGATAGGAACAGTGCAGGAATACCAGGTGGAGATGGCGGCAGCGGGAAGTAAAGGCCATGCAGCCTGATATGGTGATGGCGGCAGCGGGGCTGGCCAGTTAATAAGAACTCAGGTGGAGCAATAGAGTTTGATGGGCTTCTGGGCAGGCCCTCTAATTCCCCAACTGGACCCAACCTTCCCTATAAGAAATTAAATTGGGCTCAGATGCAGGCAAGGAGAGAAAAGGGATTGCGTTATAATTGTGAGAAAAATTTGGGTTGGGACACCCTTGCAAGGCCCAACAGATCTTCTTACTCCAATCTGACAACCCTGATCCAAATGAGGACTCTAACCCAACCGAGGGCCCAAATAACATTGTTAGAGTTCAAGAAGTTGACACCCCAAGATTTCTCTCAAGGCCCTCACTAGACTACCCCCTTCTTGAACTATGAGGGTAAAAGGGTTGTTGTAAGTAGGGGTGTCAACAGTATCCAAAAATCTGATTTCGAACCTCATTAATATTGATAACACTATAAAATATTCAGTGTATTATCTGTCCGCCTGGGTTGAGATGATCCAAAGATGATGTTGAAGTTTGGAGCTTCTCACATTTAGCATTCCAATGGTTTGTTCTCTCTGCTCCCAGCCTCCTACTTTATCCTACATTTTAGTTACTTAGATAACCATACTATAAGCACCATATAATTACCACTTTTAATTGTTTTTTGGTAATAAATAAAAAAGACAATTTTATTAATAAAAAAGAGTACATCAAAAAAGGTGGCAAGAGATCACCAATACAAACATCTCCAAAATAAAGACGACAAACTAAACATCCCAAAAATCAGGAAAAAAAAACTTCTCAATTCTCATTCAAAAAAGATCAAAAAATCATTTCGAAGTGCTTAGAAACTCTTTCAAATTCTGGAAGAATGAGAATCTCAACCCATGATTCTTTTTCCACATAAGATGGCAATTTGATCTCTACATTAAGCCTTTTAATTGTTGGCCATAGAATCTACCTAATTGTTATTTGACAAACAGTAGAGAATCAGTCAACATAAAATAATGCAATGGCACTGTATGTACTTAAAGTAGTTTATCAATATTGAGCAAGCAAATACCAATGAAAAGTCCAACAGCTTTTGGAGTTGTTAGCTGTGTAACATGTGCGTAAACCACTAAAGGAAAGCAACTCTTGTTCCAAGACTAAGACACAGAACAGAAATAACATGAATTAAAAGTTCACCATCATCCGAAGGGGCTGGTAAGTTGATTCCTCCGGTGGTATCTCAGTGGGAGAAGTACAAAAAGTTTGATTTATCAGGGATTACAAGTAAGGATGGAACTGATGTAGATGAGGCCTCTGTTGAGGTGTTGCCAGAGGAAAGGGATGTGAAGAAAGGAAGTGTGGACTTGAAGACTCAGGTTGATAAAGAGGTGGAAATTGGCAAGTCTTTAGGCTTGTTTTTCCTAGGATGAGAAAGCTTTGCCAGGAGAGCTTTTGAACTGTTCAAAATGTTGAGTGGGCCGGTTTGTTTTGTTGAGTGGCCCGGTTTGTCTTTAGTTTGTTTTATTTGATTAGGAAGTTGTTGGGCCTTCGGCCCATTAGTTTTTTATTTTTTAAAAGTTGTGACTATTCAGTTTTAGTAGCCACCCTACTAAGGGCATCCTTGTAATATCTCATCTTTAAGTTAAATATAAATATAATGAGGGGCTGGCGGCTAGGGTTAACTTTTCTCATAACTCTAGTTGACCTCCTACTCTTTTCTTCTTCTCCTTC